GCGCTGTCCTTGACCGTGCGTGTATAATGCAAACATCAACTGCGTCATGTTTCGATTATCCGTTTAATTTTGATGAATTGTTTTGTGAGGTGTGACAGCCTATGAGGGCGCCCTATCAACATTTCGTAGTGCTTCGAGAGAATCGCTATATAAACAGCTTGGAGGTCTGCCTGGAAGTTCATTGCCTCAATTTGACGTAGTTTGAATTTTGGGAGGTCGTCGGAGTCTCTCGACTCCGTGTTACTATACTTAGACACACCCAAGCCGACCGTTTTCCTTGACATCGGTGTCTACGAGATTTGAGATGCAAAGGGGATTCTAAAAACATTATAATAGTTTTGACAGTGAGAAAAAAGGTTCCCGGAAACAGCGGAAATATCGGACTGTTTCTCTTCCATATTCAATCCAACCCTGGCCTTTACAGTCGTGCCAAAGTTTGTTTTGCCACAGATAAAGCAATCTAGCACTCTCCCGAAAACTCAGCATTATTGGGTGATATCCCACTATTTCCCGGATATACACACTTATTTAAACTAACCATAAAAAAACATTTACGTGGAGACGTTTCTCCATTTTTACGTTGTTTTTGTTTTGGTTTTGTCAATTTTGCCCTGTTTTTTTGCGGTTCAAAATCGTGTCGAATTTTTTCAGAACTCCACACAAGTTTTGCTGTTTTTGGTCGCTCTCAAACGGAAATTAAACCATATTTTATGGTTTATTATATTTACGGTTATAGTATTATAATTCTATTATCGTAATCGTTCAAAAAGCAAAATGTCTATTTGGGGTGCTTGCTTAATAGTTCTTTTTACTTTCATTATAGTTATTGTAAAGCTTCTTTATTGAAAAAAATACAAGAAACATCAATATATAATTAAAATTCCCAGTTTTTATTAACCCTAACAAAGAGTTATAAAACAATTATTAATTTAATTATTGAACGTGGTTCTAATAAACATTTTTGTTCGAGTTAAATAACCCTTGAAATCTGGAATGGCGTTTTAAAAGAAATGTTTGAATTATTTGTTAAAACCACCAATCAGAAGCAGGACAACTTACCCAAAAATGTTTTACGATCTTTCACTTTTCACTTATTTTCAAAAAATGGATTTTATAAAAACAATTTACAAATAAGTTCATAAGTAAGTTCAGGTTTATAGTTTTTTTTATTGATTGCGTGTTTTTGTTGAATGATATTT